TACTTCAAAGCCACAACGGCTTGTACCGACGACAAGAAGGTGACTGTAGCCGCGATGTACCTCATAGACGACGCCAAACTGTGGTGGCGTACGAAGGTGCAAGACATCGAGGATGGATTGTGCACCATCGACTCATGGGAGGACCTCAAGAGAGAGTTGAGGGAACAATTCCTCCCCGAAAATGCAGGGCATATAGCAATGGAGAAAATAGTAGCCCTGAAACACACGGGAAACATACGGGACTACGTCAGACAGTTCTCAACCCTGATGCTGGATATCAGGGGCACAGCAGAGAAGGACAAAGTGTTCTTCTTCATAAATGGTCTACAGCCGTGGGCCAAAACAAAGATACATGAGAATAGGGTCCAAACCCTAGCTGCCGCAATGGCCTGCGCCGAGAGACTCGTAGACTGTGGGAACGAAGCAGGATCCCAAAGAAGAGCGACACCAGCCCCAAACAATGGGGGCAAACCATACAGACCACCAGGCCAGCGAAATGGAAGCCCCAACAGACCGAATGGNAAGGTTCCTACTTCCGTATCTGAGTTGCGGTCCTTCTTAGGACTAGCCAACTACTATAGGCGGTTCGTCGAAGGGTTTTCACGACGAGCCGCCCCAATGACAGAGCTGTTGAAGAAAGACCACCCTTGGTTGTGGTCGAATGATTGTCAAATGGCCTTCGAAAATCTGAAAACAACCATGACGAGGGGTCCTGTCCTCGGGTTGGTAGACGTCACAAAGCCATTTGAAGTAGAAACCGATGCTTCCGACTTTGCTCTCGGGGGAGTCCTTATTCAAGAAGGCCNGAGCAATGAAGCAAGGGTCGAGACTTTGCTAGACAAGAAGGAAGATCACGACAACCCCCGAATGGGCACACTCAAATTCTTGTCAGCCCTCCAACGGAAAGTCGAACCGAAGGAGGTAATAGAGAAAGGGCTCATGTTCGTGGATGCCACAATAAACTCTCAACCGAGCAAGAGCACTTTGATAGACTCTGGAGCAACCCACAACTTCATTGCCGATCAAGAAGCCA